ATGCTAGATTAGTGTCCTGATTACAAGGATGAATAATTCACACCTGTAATTCCCATGATTTTACAACACAAACCTATTTTTATTAGTTGTCTACTTGTCTTTTTCTATTTCTTCAAATTAGGGATTTTTGGCATTGAACATGTGCACTAAACATTGTGATGAATAGTGCTGAATATGGACCGTGAAGATGACAATAAATAGTGATGTACATGACCATTGAAAGAATGCATTGACGGGAAGTGCAATAATTATGACAAGTAGTGCATTAACGTAGAGCACTAAGACTGGGATGAAATGCAAAATATTTAATTAGACGTAAAATACTAAAATTATTAATTGTAAAAAAATAAAAAATAAAAAACTATAAATAAATTTCTAAAGTGGATGAGAAGAGAAATAATTTTGACGGAAGTGTAGTGATAATTACCGGATGTGCACTAACGACGTGCATTAATGTCGTGGAGTAACAACATTATAATGTGCATTAATTTTAATTGGACGAAATTAGTAAAAATGCACAAATCTTAAATAAGGGTAGTTTGGTCATTAAACATTTTATTATGGGCGAATTTTTATTTCTTTTTGGGATTTTGAGTCATACAAATGTCTAAAAACTAAGTTAGTCATATTTTGATAAACTCAATAAGTTTTAGTCATATCTTGAGAAATTTCCGGAGGAGTATGTATGAAGATGATATTGTGCATTACTTTGTAGTATTAAAAAGCATAAGGACATTATTGTCAATTAAAATGAAAACACTTCCTTTATTAACACTTCATTTTTATAGCTCTTCCAAACAAGGTTAGATTAGGGGTGGTTCGGTACGGTATACCGACTATTTTCTCTCGTACCTTTGTCGTACCAAAACTTTCGGTATACAAAATTTATATATCATTACCGTACCGAAGTTTCGGTATACCGAAGTTTTGGTTCGGTAACGACACGGTATCAGTAAATTACCGTGCATGGCTCACAATACAACAAATTATTATAGAGTAACAAAATATACTAAATCGGTGTTACTAGCGACATATTTAATCCATTATTAAAATATTACAAAATACAATTAATAATCTGTTTATGTCGTATTCAATATTGAATAATAATTATTATAAGTATATTTAAGCAGTTCAAAATGTCACATATTAAAAAATAACGCATTTTCCTAAAATAACTTGAACAATATAGATATAATTAAATGAATAGTGATCTCTAACAAAAATAAATAAAATTATTCAATCGACATGGATACAAATCATTTATCCCTAATATGATAGCGTATTTAGTCATTTTTATAATTTAAAAAAATATATTTGAATAAGACGTTTGGACAAAGTTGTGTGTCTCGACTCGTGGAATCCCTATGCAGATACACTCGTCACATAAGTGTATCCATCTTCATTCATCAGCTACTCAGCAGCTCAGCCATCGCGACTCGCAAACTCATGGAACATGGACTGTTTTCTGGACATTAGTACATTACTCATTAGTCATTAAGGTTAGTTTGTTTGAATGTTATAATGAGTTTGGGAAATTGAGCCTTTATTTTTGTATTTTAGTATTTGTAACCAACCTAAGTATTAATTTTTGGGCTTCAAAATTGTAATGGATTTTATAATATTTTAGAATTTAAAGTAATCGTTGGTTAGAGAGTCGGTAAGTATTACAGAGTATATCGGTATACCGCGGTATGTGAAAACATTTAGCGTTACCATACCGAAATAAATCGGTACGGTATGATACCGTACCGAAAATGACAGTATACCAATATTCCGGTATTTTCCGGTATTTTTCGGTATGGTAAGTGCGGTATACCGATTTTCCGGTATTTTTGCCCACCCCTAGGTTATATTGCATCTTACACTTAGGTGGTGTTTGGAATTGATTCTCCTTTTGCTTCTTTTTTAGAGCAGAAGTAGAATCAGTTTTCAGAAGCTGGCTCCTCCAGCTTCTAAAAAAACTGATTCCAAGAGTAAATTAGAGCACCAGAATCACTTCTGCACTTTCACCCAAACACTCCGACTTCCGCTTCTGCTTCCTGGAGGAGCAGAAGCAGTTTTAAAAATCAGATCCAAATATCCCCTTACACTTACCTTCCCTTTCGGGTCAGTGTCAACACCTACCAACACTTCCATTACTAACATATTTCAACACTCCATCCAAATAGGCCGTTAGTATCACCCGTCCGATGTCGGTATATTGAATCAACGGCATTTAGCTTTCGCTTTTTTTCTTTCGTTTACGATTCTATTTCTGAAATCCAAGAAGCTTCACAATACTGATAAAGTCCCACACCGGTAAATTGATAAGCATTAGAGTGCTATATTAAGCTTCGGGCTACTTCTTCTAACAGGTTGTGATAAAGTCCCACACCGGTAAATTGAGAAGCATTAGAGTGCTATATTAATTAAGCTTCAGGCTACTCCTTCTAACAGGTTGACCTTTTAGGATGGAACCCCGGATTTTAACATGATATAGAGCCAAATCGATTTATGGTGTGGGCCTCCTTATGAAAAATGACGACATGATTTTAAAAAAATGAAAATTACGAAACGACGAAAAAAATGAATGACGGCACGATCCAGACGAAGTGTCTGGTCGTGAGGAGGGGTGATAAAGTCACACACCGGTAAATTGAGAAGCATTAGAATGCTATATTAAGCTTCGGGCTACTCCGGAATTATTCAGATTCATTCTTCTTTGGCTGGCCTGGAATCATCTTGGCCGAATTCATCTTTTCCCATGCCCATATCGATTCAAACTGTGTTTAAGGTAAATGTTCAAGGTAAACTAATTTTCAATAGAGTTAGTCGTTAAACACACTACGTGTTTGGGAGAATAAACTAGATTAAGGGATTGTTTGCAACAGCTTCTGCTTAAAAAACACTTTTGGGGTTATTTTGGAAAAAGTGATCAGTAGTAAAAGTTAATAGTGTTTGAGAAAAAATGATTTTGAAAAGTAAAAGTTGGTAGTGTTTGGTAAAATAAGTGCTTTTGTGTAATAGAAAAAATAAAAAACACTTTTCACACGAAAGCTGCGAAAAGTAAAAGTTGGTAGTGTTTGGTAAAATAAGTGCTTTTTTAAGCCAAAAGCTGAGAAGTGCTTTTTTAAGCTGTTTCAAACCAACCTGTTGTGAAAAAAAAATCAACGGGGTAAACCGTTGCCCAGATAATCAACGATAAAAATACCGTTGCCTAGAGCCAAAAGTCTAAAACCAGTTTTATTCCAAGATGAGCCAGATGAATCATAACAAGGGGTTTAAATACCCATCTACTTATTCTCAAACTAGGAAACAAAATCCTAGAAATCTCAATCAACTCCAACTATCAGAATAATAAAGATCCTAATCAACTTCAAATAGGAAACAAATAATAGAAATCCTAATTAACTCCTAATAGGAAACAAATATTATTAGAAATCCTAATTAACTCCAAATAGGAAACAAATCAGGAAAATTAAATAGAATAAATATTAATTAAACAGCCCGCAACCAGCCCACGAAGGTGGGCTCAAGCCCGTCCCCGCCTTCAGTAAACCCACAGAGGCTTTTGCCCCTCTTCTTTCAAGCCCAGATTCTGCTTCATATCAATTCCACCCCCCTTCGAAAAAACCTTGTCCTCTAGGTTGAATTCCGGAAACCGGCTGACATTTGTCCCCGGGGGATGTCCAGTATCTTCAGGAAAAATTGAGATGCACTCCTCCACAGTCCCCGTCTGCTTGCCTCCGGGTAGCCATTCAAAGCAATTGCCCTTAAACCGTGAGTCAAAATGAGGCACACCAATGCCTGTGTAAGCTCATCCCATGACATGTCCGGCTTTTGTGCCCGTAACCAGGTCAACCAATATAGGGCTGACCCTTCCCTCACAACTACAACGACTGCCATCTTCTTTCCTGGCGGAGTACAGTTCAATTCGAACGGTTGCTCAACTCTATCAACCCAGCTGATCGGTTTTTCTCCGTTAAACGAGGACATACAACATCGTGAGAAAGGTGTTGCACAGTCCAATTCCGAATGAGCATGTTGTTGTCGCGTCAAGTGAAGCCACCGCCGTTGAATGCTCCTTCGCCGCTGGCGGTGCGAGAGCCTTTGTGAGCGCAGTCAAGGAGGAAGTGACGTTGCGCGGCTGTCCGTCGTTGCAGGGCGCAAATACGGTGGGGCTGCCAACCGCGTCCAGGCTTGTTTTCGCCGTGACCGGCGGAACGAACGCCTTGGTAAGCGTTGCCAGGGATGCATCGATCTTTGCCAGACGCATGCCATGCTCCTTTAGGGTTTGATTCATCCGAATTTGCTTGGCCACCATCTCTGTCAAGCAGTTAATCTGAGATCTCATCATCCTGGCGGGACGGGATCCGGCAGGTCGGACCAATTGTTGTGAACAGAAAAATAAAATTAACGGGGTAAACCGTTGCCCAGATAATCAACGATAAAAATACCGTTGCCCAGAGCCAAAAGGCTAAAACCAATTTTAATCCAAGATGAGCCAGAATGAATCATAACAAGGAGTTTATATACCCATCTACTTATTCTCAAACTAGAAAACAAAATCCTAGAAATCCCAATTAACTCCAACTAGGAAACAGAATAATAAAGATCCTAATCAACTTCAAATAGGAAACAAATAATAGAAATCCTAATTAACTCCTAATAGGAAACAAATATTATTAGAAATCCTAATTAACTCCAAATAGGAAACAAATCAGGAAAATTAAATAGAATAAATATTAATTAAACAGCCTGCAACCAGCCCATGAAGGTGGGCTCAAGCCCGTCCCCGCCTTCAGTAAACCCACGGAGGCTTTTGCCCCTCTTCTTCCAAGCCCAAATTCTACTTCATATCACAACCCTAAACTAGGTGTGTAAGAATATACTAGGTGTTTGTAAATATATCACAACTAAAAGTTTGAAATTCTCGGTTACCTTCCTTTTCTTTAAGCCTGATGTTTCATTAGGCAGTGAATACATGTTTAAAATTATGAGATCCAAACATACTCTACAGGCTCCGGCATAGGTAATTGGCGTTTCATTCATCTATTGTCTCAATAAACTTAAATTACGTAGTATTAGATATGTTCATTCTATTATGTCAAATGTAGTTTCAATGGAGTATATATTGTCATGACCCTTCCATAAGAGAACATAACTCTTGCATTAAACAAGAATTATTGGGAAGTCCGGAGAGATGATGATGTTTTTACTTGAACCGTTGTCCACTAGATCATATTTAAAAAACGAGACCACCAAATTTCTAAGTACAAGTAAAAACATCCTGGTCCATCAAACTTGGAAGTTGGAATTGAACATTTCCTGTCCTCGTCCTCGTATACTAAAAACGAAAGAAAAACTCTGCGTGACGACAGTCGACAGATTAGGCATCAAGGTTCATTCATTGACCCCTTTTCTTGTTCTGTTTATTGGCAAGAGGAACTTGTATGAACCCAAACTTCTTCCTCTGCGAAACATATTGCTTCTGCAAGCCCCCATCTTTCCCAGTCTTTCCTGGACCCAATGAGATCCCGCTCTGCTCTCGAAGCATCTGGCTAAATGGCACATAATGTTTCTCTGTTTCATCACCTTCTTCGTCCACCTTTCTGCTCAACACGTCCCCAATTGAGACTGAAGACTTGAAACCCGGAACCTGTTTGTCTTTTGGCGTGTATGGTTCTTTTTCCTCCAGGATCATAGCAGGCTTTGAATCCTTCATCCTTGCTAAGTGACCCAGAGCTTCTTTTGGGTGGTTCTTGTGGTTTTGAATGGATTCTAATTGCTTCTTCCCGGAGATGATAACTTCTGCATTTGAGTCGACAAATTTGGTCTTGCACTGTTCTTCAATTTTTGGTGTTAGGGGGTATTGTTTCTCATCCAGGAGAGTCATCTCCTTAGCAGAGGGTACCTGAAAAAAGCGTTTGGCATTCAATAACGCCTTCCTTTCAGCAATGGCAATGGCTTCCAAGGCTCTGGCAGCTTCCTCTATCTTCTTGGCTGCAGTCAACCTCAGTTCAGCCATCTTCATGCTTTCCTGTTGTTGATTCATACAGAGCATATATTAATATAAATACGGAGTATATAATATCAGACATATAGTAATCTTACTTCCAAAAACATTAATGGTTTTACAACTCATTAGGTTTATGCAAAAAAAGGGTGAAAGCATACTTGTGTCAGCATACCAGGCTAAATTACTAGATGAGACTTGAGTAATAGGATGTATGTAAGTAGTAAAATAGACATACACAAAACCGTATCAGTCTTAAATAGATCATACCATACCCTACCAACCTTAAACAAGCTAGACCAATACAAACCACAAAAATGTTAATCCATGTCAAAACATCCTAAGTTATCCCATTCTCACAATTACGTTGATTTTTTTATTTTTTAAGTCTAACTTTGTTTTCACCATAAAAAAACAGTCTATCTTTGTTTCAAAATCTTTCAATGTTATAACACGAAAATGATTTTCAATGCCATAAATTACTATATACGGAGTACTTCAAGACGAATACCTTCATTCGTGCGATATCTAGTGTTGCCTTCATGACCTGATAGCTTGATGCATCTGCCATTTTCTTACACTGTTCAGACTCAAAGTTCACCCGCCAGTCCTCTTCATCATCAATGTCATCCATACTTTCCTCAACACCCTTTTCGAGACATTCCCTCCCGCCGTTCTCACTAAGAAGCCTTCTTTCGTTCTTAACTTCCTTGTTGAGAGACTGAACAGAAGTGCGGATGACAGAAAGGTCCATTGACATCTTATTGAGGTCCTCCTTTGCTTGGTTCAACTCCATCAGAACATTGCCTGGGGAAGGAATGGGTGTAAAAGAAGCCAATCTTTCTGATGGGCTAAATACGGGGCTTGATGACATAGAAGAAGAAGAAGAAGCAGAAACTTCATCTTCCATCAAATTTAACTTTAGTCCTTCTACATATCGTTTTGCTGCTTCAACTTCTTTCAACACATTAAGAGCTTCTTGCTCCTTCATGATCAAACCCCGTTCGAAATCATTCGTTCCCTCTTCCATTTTGTTTAGTTCTAACGGGCCCGTATTTTCCTCCTAAGAAACAGAAATTTAAAGTTGTCGCACAAAAGAAGAAAATAAAATATTCTTGTGTTCTTGAAAGTTGTCCACAAAAAAGGAAGTAATATGAATCACAGAATCTTTTCCATAAAAATAAAGTATTTTGGAACGGTCGAAAAAGGAAAGTGTGAACATATAGGGACAGAAGTAGTATAAACAAAAAAGACTGATAATTTAGAGTACTCACAGGAAGAGGCATTCGGAGGAGGTGATGGGGAAACCAAGGGCCACTCCCGCCAAAACGGTCCACGGCTTCCTTGACAGACTCGAATGGCGGGGAGGTGTCAATCTCCACTCTTGGGCTCATCTTCTTCTTCATCTCTGTACACTCTTCTTTTTCAGCCATTCCTTTTCCTTTCAGAATTTCCTTTAGTTGTGGTTTTATTAGTGCGTGTGAGAATATGGACTTGATGCTAGCTAGCCCAGCTACTGAACGCTGGTGGAGCTATTTAACTTCACCATTACCGATTTCCCGGGCTGCTTTTTATAATATAGGACTATTAATAATGATAATACCCTGATAAAGATTGGTTTGGTTGTGCACTGTGCAGTTGTGCGTAAAGGCGTTTTTATTGAAAAACAATGTGTTCAACTGTTTAAGCATCAAAAGTCTAGCAAAAAAGTGTCCTTCAATAAATTGAAAAGAGTAAGGTCTTCTAAGTAGTTGATAATTAAATTAGTTTCTTGATTATTATAAAGTAACTTATATTCTTGCTTATTCCTAGGAACCATCACCTAGCGGTTGCTTTTCGGATCTAAATGGTTCAATCTGTGTTCCAATAGTTCTCACTTCTCATGCGATGATTGGTCCTTTTTGCATTTAGAATATTATTATGAACCGTTTGACAATACTGTTTTTTGGCTTATCAAGCTTATTAGTCAATTTTTTCACCAAACACGTAATTTTTACTTTCGCACGCTGAATTGTGTAATAAGCAAAAAAAGTAAGGTTCGAGTTTCTTTTCTGGTTGTATTGGCTATAATTACTGTAGATGATCATTTTTATCTATTTTTACATAAAAAAATTTCTTTATTTTATTAATAAAATATATTTTAATAATATTTTTTTCTTAAATCAGCAGAATTAGCCAATGCAGTTATGCAGCCACTCCAGACATAACTTCATAAATTTCAGCAGAATCAGCCAAATCAGTCGATTTTTGTGCTACCAAACAGGTTCTAGATATTGAAGGGACAACATTACTTTATGGTGTAGAAGTAGATGAAAAAAGTTTAGGGGTCAAGCACCTTATACATAGTCTAGCTTAAGTGAGTTAAGTCTTATCATATTTAACTTTATCATATTAGGCCTGAAATATTCACTATGAGAGTCCCAATCCTGTCAGGCCGGCCAGACGGAAACCGCCGTCCGGACGAGGCCATTTAGGACTCTTCCCTGTGGAATTTTTTGATGAAATGTTTTGAGCATGTTCCTCATCAAGTGTAGTTTATCCATACCAAATTTCAGTTAAAAATTCAATCGGGAAGGCACTCAAAAAAATTCCCTACGAAAACTGCGCTGTTTATATATATAATGCACAGCTTTCATAGGGAATTTGTTTGACTGCCTTCCCGATTGAAGTTTTAGCTGAAATTTGGTATGGATAAACTAGACTTGATGAGGAACATGCTCAAAAAAATTCATCAAAACCGTCCTCTGGGAAGGGCCCCAGCCTGACGGCGGTTCCCGTCAGGCCGGCCTGATACGATCTGCCCTCTTCACTATGAAACATTAGTTAACCATTTAACACTTAACATTAGTTTGGTATATATTCGCATATATTCGAATCTTATTAGAATATTCAGATTTTATTCCAATTTTTGATTTCGAAAAACATTAAAAGTTATGAAAATAATTAAAATTACATTGTGTTTTTTGCTCCTTTAATCTCATTTTCATAGTACATATTTCATACCAAACAAATATATCTACAAATCACTTCTTCAAATATGACATCAATATAATCCAAATTTGATACGATTTTAATATTATGATTAAAATTTCATACCTAATATATTTCATAGTACATATTTCATACCACATATGATTAACATTTCATACATAATAATATACCTACAATATTATATCTACAATTCACTTCTTCATTCAAGTGATTATATTTAAATATATCTACAAGTCACTTCTTCAAATTTACATAATAGATCTCATTTTCATAGTACATATTTCATACCGAACACATACGGAGTATATCTACAAGCCACTTCTTCAAATTTTAATGTATTGATTAAAATTCTCCACTTTATTTCTTAATATATGTTAAAAAATTAATTGGATTGATTATAAGTATATAATAATGACATTGCGTACTTATATGACACAATGTACGCTCTCGAAAAGTTTCTCTTTTATATTTTCTATGTTCTTTTTTAGTTACAATACTTTCATTTTCATGTTTTCCAACACAATACTGAGATTATAAATATATATGATTTACTCTGAGTAAAAAATTAAAAGAATGAGATATTTGGAAATTTAAATTGAGACGAATTGAATAATATTTTTCAAAAAAGTTTAATACTTTAATAAATAAAATATAGTCAAAGTAGAACATATGATTAATTTAGAAATCAACATGTTGAAATTATATAGGAACATAGATAGTACATTGCAATTAATAAAATATAGTCAAAGTAAAACATATATGATTAATATATATATATATATATATATATATATATATATATATATATATTGATTTTGTATCATTCTGTTCCAATTAATGAAATCACAATAGCACATTGAGATCTAAAATTATGTAGAAAATGCACAGTGCAAATAATCATTACTAATATATATTAAATAAACTTCAATCATGTCTTCAAGTTAATTTCAACTCATCATTTAATTTACTCATGACATATATTAGCTATGAAGTATATGATTAGCTATGTGGGATGTCAAGGTAAGAGATTATGACATCGTAGAAAAAATTAATTATGATATTTTAGAATTGGGCATGAGTGATACGATATGTTTCTAATGTGAGACATAATCATATCATAGGTATCGTTTAAAAGCATATATCATCGGTATAGTTTAAAAGCATCCCCGAAAAAAAAAGCATATATCCTGATTTTTGTGAAAAATTAAGTGGACCAATATATATATTTGTGTGTGAGAGAGATCATACCTTATGCCTACACCATACATTATAAATGACGAAACTACTCCGTACATACTATCATTGATCGATGGCGGGAGTTACATATCTGAGTTCAATTAATATTATCTCATTCCCACGCCGTTACTACCTTTGATGTTGATGTATACATTGTCTAATATCTTAATAGCTCAAATTGCTAAATTGATTAATCATGTCCTCCAATTGAAAATCGAAGCTCCAATAATCTTATTAAGAAATATTAATCACGCATAAGTTTTATTCAGTGGAACATGACAAATTGAGAATATAAAGTTTACAAATTGAGAATCTCATTGCCACCATATGACAACTTTATTCAAATTCTGAAGAAAGCAATCTACTGTGATAACAAGTTTTGCAATGACAATCAATAAAAACAATGTTAAATGTTATCACATAAAACCTAATTTATACCTTGGGATACACATTTGTATAGTGAGCAAAGACGTCTTAATATATTCATATGATCAAAAGAAACAAATTTATTCATATAAGGAGGTTTCCAAATTCTAACAATGAGATGTTTGGTGTTACATTAAAATGTAACTTTTTAATATATTCTCTTTAATTAATTTACTATTCACAATGAACACACGTCTAATCTAAAGTAAAATGATAAATTATTTATATATTGTATAAGATATATATCTTATAAAGTATTCAAACATTTTCAAAATTCATTGGAGCAACGTCCGGTTAAAGTATCACTCAAATTGGGAAATATTACTCCCTCTGTTCCTTAAAACTTTGTCAAGTTTGACCAGCACAAGGATTAATAAAGTAAAAATTGTGTGACACAAGAGAAAGTGACAAATTTAGTGCAAAGGAGGGAGAATTATCTAGTGATGGACAGTCTACCCGGGGGGTATCTTATCCGAGGGGTTATTGCGGGAATAACTAGAGAGAAGTCAGAGCAAAATAGGAGGAGAGAGAGTCGATTTTATTAAATGAACTCAGCGTGGTTTACAAGGAGAATAAGGGCTGCTATTTATAGCAGCAATGAATGTGATGAGAGTACACGTGTCAGTAATCCAACGGCCGAGGGGTCACATCAATCGGGGTGGCACCGGCCATCGCACGTTCCCCGCATTAAATGCGGTGGGTGGATGTGACGTCGCATTAAATGCGGTGGTTGACTGTCTCCAAAGGGAATCTTCGATGATTGAGTCCGTTTAGCCGAAGGCTCCTCGCGTAGCCGAGGGCTTCGTGTGGACGAAGGCACTGTGTGGCCGAAGGCTTCATGTATGGCCGAGGGCTTCATATATGGTCGAGGGCTTCATGTATGGCCGAGGGCTTCATGTATGGCCGAAGGCTTCATGTATGGCCGAAGGCTTGATATATAGCCGAGGGCTTCATGTATGGCCGAAGGCTTGATGTATGGCCGAGGGCTTCATGTATGGCCGAAGGCTTGATGTATGGCTGAGGGCTTCATGTATGGCCGAGGGCTTCATGTATGGCCGAAGGCTTTATGTATGACCGAAGGCTCCGTGTGTGGCCGAAGGCTCCATGTATGGCCGAAGGCTCCCTGTGTGGCCGAAGGCTTCATGTATGGCCGAAGGCTCCCTATGTGGCCGAAGGTTCCATGTGTGGCCGAAGGCTTCATGTATGGCCGAAGGCTCCCAGTGTAGCCGAAGGCTTGGTTCAGCCGAGGGCTTCCCCTGGTGCCGAGGGCTCCACAGTGCCGAAGGCTCCTGTTTTCTGTCATTTTCTCCCAGTCGCTTCGCATGGTCGAATATGGCGGTTCTGTGAGTTTTGGAGCCTTCGGTCAAGGAGGCCGAAGGCATCCCTGTGTGTACTGTGGGCTTTTTGACGCTTGGGCCGCCAAATCTTGGGCCTCCTGAGCTCCTTGGGCTTGTTGGGCTTGTGATAGATTAGTAGGAGTCTGTGGGCCGGGGGTTCCCGGGCCATATACTCCATCAGGAGTCCCTCACTCCTTTTGCCGAAAGGTACTTGAGGGAAAAGGAGTAATTGTGTTGATTCTCCCGAAAGCTTCATCGTTTTGTTGGGTGCCTTTGACTGATCACTTATCTTCTGCTGTTAGCCGAAGGCATCCCTCAGTCCCCCACATGTCGAGGGTTTTCTGAGGGAAGCGTAAATAATATCTGTATGTGTTGTGATGAAGGTTGCTTCATCATTGTCAGTGACTTTGTGGAAAGTTTCTGACATTCTGCTTTGCCGAAGGGTGTAATGGTGTATGTACCCGAGGGCTACATGCGTTATTTGTAGATTTCTTGCATGTGGGAATTTTTGTTTTTAGTCATGTGTGATTCCCGAGGGGTGTATCCCAGTCCCTCACTCCTTTAGGTCGAAGGCAAGTTCGGGCTGAAGGAGTTATGATGTGTTGATGAGCTCCCGAGGGGTGGCAACATTGACAAGCCGAAGGCTTATACTGCTGCC